TCTGTTTACGCGGCGCTCACCCGAAGAAGACGCTCTTAAAGGCCATCTTTTTTTGCTTTATTATTTTTTTTCTCGGTTTCCTCCCTTATTTCGCCCTATTTCTGCCTTCCTGGCTCTCTCTTTTTCTTGCTTTCTGTTCCTCTCTTTCTATCTCTATCACTCTCTTCTCTTTCTCTCTTTCTCTCTCTCTCTCCCTCTCCCCTCCGACCCCACCCCTTCCCTCACTCTCTCTCTCCTCCTCCTCCCGCTCCCTCCCCCTCCTCCATCCCTTCCGTACTCTCCCCCAGCGCTTTGCCTCTCCCCCCCCTTCCCCGGAGAGCACCCCCCCCTCCCCACCCCACCCCCAAAATCCCCCCCCCCCCCCGCCCCCCCGCCGCCCATGAATCTCTTTTTACGAAGCTCTTAGATCTCCGTGAGAGGTTCCCTTTCGTTCCAGACGCTTGGCAGGCTAACGTCTCGAAGATGAGTGGGTCGGCCGGCGGTGTACGGGGGGGTGGGGGGAGGGGAGGAGGAGGAGAGGGGTGGGGGAGGAGGAGGAGGAGAGGGGAGGGAGGGTGGGGTGGGGGTTTGGAGGGAGGAGGAGGAGGGAGGGGTGGGGGAGGAGGAGGGAGGGGGTGGGGGAGGAGGAGGGAGGGGGGGGGGAGGGGGAGGAGGAGGAGGGTGGGGGGGAGGGAGGTGGAGGGTGTGGGGGGAGGGAGGGGGAGGGCGTGATGAAGACACTCGTCAAGGGAAACCGGCAGCTCCCATGAGAGAGAGATGGTGAAGCGACGGGAGAGGGTTTTTTTCTTTAGTTTTTCTTTATCTTTTTATTTCCTCTTCTCCTCCTCTTTCTTCTTTATCTTTTTTTTTTCGTCCTTCTTTTTCTTTATTTCTTCTTCTTTTCTCTTTTTGTTTATCTTTTTTTTCTTTTTCTTTCCTCTTCTTGTTCATCTTTTCTTCTTCTTCTTCCTTCTTCTTTATCTTCTTCATCATCCTCATTTCCTCTCTCCTCCTCCCTCCTCCTTTCCATCTCTCCTTCGTCATCGTTTTTCTCTTTCTTTTCTCTTTTTCTAATCTGTGACCTTCACCCGAACGCGACCCTGATGTAGCGTGGGGGCGGGGGGTGGGGAGGAGGGGGGTGGGGTGGTGGGGGTGTGTTATGTTTTAAGGCAATGAATCTCGCACTTTCACCCAATTTCCTGCAATGTAGAGGACCAGGGGGGAGGGGGGGATGGGGTTGAGGGGAGGGAGAGAAAGTCCAAGAAAAAATGCCAGATTTCCCCCTTCCCCCCTCCCCCCCTCTTCATCATCATACATAAAATTCTCGATGCGTTTTTATTTCAAGGTTGTGTAAAAAAATAATAAATAAAATAAATAATACATATAATAACTACTACTAATAATAACCAAAAATAATAATAACAATAATAATAATAATAATAATAAAACAATAATATAATAATAATAATAATAATAATAAATAATAATAATAATAAATAATAATAAAATAATAATAAAATAATAATAAATTAATAAATAAATAAAAAAAATCTTCCTTTTATAAAACCTCCTCTCCGATACCCCCCCCCCCCCGTGTCTCCATCGCAACTGACCGTTAAATCTCCTTTTAATTCAAATTCAAACACGCGACGCTACCACATCCGTTGGGGATCGTTAAAACCGTTAATTATAACGAGTCGGCCGATAGATCTTCTCAGCCATTATTAGGTTAAGCCTCGTGCTGGGCCATATATCACGGGATTTAATTGATAACGGTAAATTACCTCTTGTCGTCACGTGACCACTGCGTCCGATTCCGAAGAGCGAGTGAAATGGGTTCATTAATTTATTCGTTATCGAATGGAATTGTACAAATACTATGGATTTGTTTCATGTTATTTTGTATATTTTTCGTTGTTTTTTTATAATAATGATGATTTTATAAGTAATGTGAGATAATTTTCTACTGGCGAAATAAATGCATCACTCAAAAAAAATGATGATAATAAAACACAATGATTTCCTCCCAATTTTTCTCCGATACAAAAAGGTAAATACAATAAGTAAATAAAAAAAGAATCACAGCCATTTTTTGTGCCTCTCCCTCTCCCCCCCTTCCCCCTCCACCCTCCCCCCCTCTAAAAAATAAAATCAAATCAAAACCATCCAAAATCACCGGAAAAACATAGCGAAATAAAAATCCCTCGCTGGCAACCCCCCCCCCCCCCTCCATCACTCCGCGACAGAGAAAATATCGAGTGACTTCCACCAGGGTGATAAGGATCATTCTCCCGGGGATTGGGATTGGGAGAGGGGGGGAGGGGGGGGGAGCGTGTCACCCATTCGTCACCGGGGGGAGTAATGCGTTACTTCTGCGTTACCGGGTGACCAATACACCTGTTCGGATCCGTCATTTCCCTTGCTTGTTTAACGGTTATAGGCGGAGGGTTTCCTATGGGAAGCGGTTCGGGGGGGGGGGGGGAGCGGAGGGGAGGGGGGAGAAGAGGGAAGGAAGAAGGAGGGTAGGTGGGAGGGGAGGGAGGAGGAGGGAGGGGAGGGAGGGTAAGGTGCGGGTGGGAGGGAGGGGAGGGAAGGAGAGAAAAAGAGAGAGGAGAGAGAGAGCAAAAGACAGTGGCAGTGATATTGATAATAAATATGATATAAGCAATAACACTGATAATTGATTGATGATGATAATAATAATAATAATAATAATAATAATAAGTTATAAAGTTCAATAATAATAAACAAAATGATAACAATAACAGCAACAACAAAAATAACATACATTAAAAATAACACAAACAACAATAAAAAAAGAACAAAAGCAACAATAAAACAAACACCATAACACCAAAACCCCCCCTCCCACACCCTCCCACCCACACACCCACACGACCCCACAGGACACAGCAGACCGCCCACCTGCCCGCCACCCGCCCACCATGACAGCGAAGACACGCCATGGAAGCAAGAGCAATGGCTTCCCGTGCACCATATGGCTAAGTAAAAAAAAAAAAAAAAAAAAAAGAAAAAAAAAAATGAAGTGAAGGGAGGTCAAGAATGGTTATTTATTTTAGTGTTTTTTTTCTGTATTTTTTTTTTTTTTTGTCTATGTTTCTGTTTGTGTTTGCCTTTCTCTCTCTGTGTCTTTGTCTCTCTATGTCTATCTCTGCCTTCTCTTTTGTCTCTGTCTCTCTGTCTTGTCTCTCTATTCGTCTCTGCTTCTTCCTCTGTCTTGTCTCTCTATTTCTGTCTCTGCCTTTCTCTCTCTTCTGTCTTTGTCTCTCTATTTCTTTCTGCCTTTCTCTCTCTGTCTTTGTCTCTCTATTTCTGTCTCTGCCTTTCTCTCTCTGTCTGTCTCTCTATTTCTATCTCTGCCTTCTCTCTCTGTTTCTTTGTCTCTCTTATTTCTGTCCTCTGGCCTTGTCTCTTCTGCTGTCTTTGTCTCTCTATTTCTATCTCTGCCTCTCTCTCTGTCTCTGTCTCTCTGTCTCTATTCTCTATCTTCTGCCTGTCTCTCTGTGTCTCTGGAATGATGAAGGCAATGGTAATGGTGATGATGCAGACGACAATTATGATGACAGTAATGGTATGTATGACAATGACAGTGATGATGATTATGATAGTGAGGATCATGATCTTGATCATCAATCATCGCTCCCACAGCTTGCATCAGAAAATCAGAAGATAAGAAAGTGAAAAACACTGGAAAAACAAAAAAAGGAATAATAATAATCATATCATTAATAATAGTTAATGATAATATAATAAATGATAATAATAATAATAATAATAATAATAATAAATAATAAATAATAATAATAAATATTATAACAACAATAATAATAATAATAAATAATAAATAATAATAATAATAATCTAAATAATAATAATATAATAATGATAATATAATAATAATAAAAACAATAATAATAACAGTTAAATATAATGATAACAAATAATAATAATGTAATGAATATAATAATATAATAAAACTAATAATAAAATAGATAATAAGTAATATAATAAATAATAAAATAATAAATAATGAATAAATATAAGTAATAATATACAATTAATATAATTAATACAATAATTAATAATTAACAATTAATAAATAAAATAATATAAATTAGAACTTTCGCGTAATATAGATAAATATATAGATTCGAACATGGTTACTAGATAAGTTATGACTGGGAGCACACTTATCAACACATTATTTTATTTTTAAAATACTCTGCATCCGTAGTGTGTCGAAGATGAATTGATAGCTATCTGTGTAGATTTACGCTTATCAGTCGATTATCAATCATCAAAGTTGCCTCACTTCTCGCCTCTCCTTCGTCTCGTCCTCCTGCCAGCTTCTCTTTCCTTATCTTTCCTCATCACCGCCTCGAATTACGACTCTTCACTCTCGATAGGTCTCATCGTCTCCATCCGTCAATTCTGTCTCGCTGTCTTATCTCTCCATCTCATCATCCTCTCTGTCATTCTAGTACCTTGTCGTCATACTCTTGGATCTCGTTTTCTTCTTCTCTACAGTAAATAGTGGTCATTCTCTGATTCTACGTTTTTCCCGAAAAGTACCACGGCTCCCTAATCGTTAGAAAAGCACACGTCATCTTCATCAATTGATCTGTCTCTCGTAGTCCTTTCCTCTTCTCTTTCTTCTCTCTCTCTCCCTTCTTCGAAAGTCCTAGAGTTCATTATCTCTTTCCATATTCATCGTTTCGGTTATCCCATAATCTGACGATCCCCTGAGCAGACTATGCCCACATCATCCCCGTCGTTTTTTTCATTCCGGTCCCATTCTTCGTTATAGTAAGATGCTCATTGCACTAAGAGTGCTTGCGTCTAAACGCTTCCAACCCAATTGATTGGTACCATCAGACCATCGATAGTTACGCTTCACCTCATCTTATTTTCCGTTTCAACAACATAAAATCCTTTCGGATTTTTAATAACCATCCTGCGCTTGCTTCTTGGTCATTCTGCCACTCTTGTCCTACACTTACCAAAGCTATCTTGCCGTCCAGCTCCTCATATCTCGTCAGTCCCTGACCAGAACTCTGGCTTACCCTTCCCAGATATACTGGCCCAATCCCCTCCTGCCCACATGAAATTCTTGACCTTCCAACTCCAGCTTCCAATCTCTTCGCATGACTCCCCGATCGCATATACTCTATCGTTTGCTTGATAGTACTCTGTCGCTCTTCCCGCTTTACTCCGATACGGCTTCATTCCATCTCTCTGTCGTATAACAGATATGCCNGGGGGAGAGAGGGGGAAAGGGGGAAAGGAGGGCGAAGCAACGCGCGCGCGCAGAGGCGGGGGGTTAGGGATTAAAGCCAATAGCGCCTAAGCAACCGTCAGTTGAGTCGCTCTTTTTTCCGCAGCTGTTCACCGTCGGAGGAGACTTGCCATTCAACGCGAACTTTGGGAGGAGGGGAGGGGGGAGATGGAGGGGGGAAAGGGGAAGGGGGGAACTTGCGGGTGAGGGAGTTACGCGACTAACGCATTTTTTTTTTTTTTTTTTACAAATTTGTTTTTCCACTCTTGGTATCCGTTTCCGAAATACCTCCTATCTATTATTATAATATATATATATATATATATTATACTTATATATATATATATATACTATATATATATATGGTGGGTTTTTTTCTACCATAGTTATCAACACGGTAGTATTTTTTACCATTCAACACATAAACACACACACACACACACACACACACACACACACACACACACACACATGTGTGTATATATATATGTGTGTTGTGTGTTGTGTGTGTGTGTGTGTGGTGTGTGTGTGTGTGTGTGTGTGTGTGTGTGTGTGTGTGTGTGTTGTGTATGTATGTATATGCATGTACGTATTAAAGTATCTGTCTAATATATCTATCTACCCATCTCCATCAGCCTATCAGTTTCCAACACGCTCGCACAGTACTCGTAGGCCCAGTTGCCGCAGCGTCCCACTCGCAGTCAGTGAGTGAGCAGTCACAGGCTCGTCGGCCATTACAATAGAACGGTTTTACTGGTTAACTTTTAGAGAGAGAAGAGTTTAACGTAGGAAAAAGGTGCGCTAAATAAGGAAATAAGGTGAAAGAAAGAAAGAAAGAGAAAGGAAGATACGAGCTTATGGAAAAGTTGCGCTAAATAAGTAAATAAGGGGAAAAAGAAAGAAAGGAAGAAAGAAAGATATGAGCTTATAGGAAAAGTTGCGCTAAATAAGTAAATAAGGGAAAAGAAAGGAAAAAAGAAAGATACGAGCTTAAAGGAAAAGTTGCGCTAAATAAGTAAATAAAGTAAAAAAGAAGAAAAGAATACGAGCTTAAAGGTAAAAAAAAATGTAAAAAAATGCAAATACGAGCCTAAAAGGAAAATGTAAAAAATAACAGAACAGCAGAAAATAACGTGTATTTATATCAAATAAAGAGATGCAAACATAGAACAGGCTTAAACGGACACCAACAAAATCGACAAAGAAAAGAACTACAAATAAAAAAAAGGTAAAATTGACTTACAACGGGGAAGCGATCTCGATAAAGTGAACGTAACGGCGACAGACAGACACTTCCCAGCACCTTAACGCATCAATCGTGTTTGTCGTTATTATTCGTCGTGACTGAACACCTTCTAGGCAGTCGGATCCTGGAACACAAAACTTAAATTCTCGATGCAGATGTTATTCCTCACGCGTGTCACGATGGCGAAAATTAATTGTTTTAATCCCGTTACCAGTCCTAAGAGAGGGAGGGGGGAGGGAGGAAGAGGGGGAGGGAGAGGGAGAGGGGGATGTAGAGGGAGAGGGAGGGAAGGAAAGGAGAGGAGGAAGGGGGGGAGAGAGGGAGGGGGGAGGAAGGGAGGTAGGGAGAGATGGATGTAGAGGAAGAGGGGGGAGGAAGGGAGGGAGGGGGAGAGAGAGATAGAGAGAGAAAGATTTTTGTGTATATATCTACCTATCTGCATGTACGCATGTATCCATATCCATCTATCCCTACCTACCTACGTATACATCTACCTATACACCGAACACACAACACACCAACTTCCCGACCAAACACGACCCACACCAATCAGGTAAAATTACAGGTACCTCCCACACCTACACGGACCTGACGAAAAGCCTTACACCGGAGGAGCGCAGGTGTACAGGTCACGCCGCTACAGGTACGTCCGCTACAGGTCACGCCGCTACAGGTCCGGCCTTTAAGCGGAAGTGATGTAGCGACCGTGGCGAGCGGCGAAGTTCCGGAATGTAGCGTGTTTGCGCTCGGCCGCTGGACGAACGGCCGGCCGGGCCTTTCACACGCGACGGGACGGGCGTGGGCGTGGGCGGGGCGAAAGGTAGGGATTGATAGAGAGGGAAGGATGGAGAGAGAGAGGGGGAGGGGATTGATAGAGAGGGAAGGATGGAGAAAGAGAGGGGGAGGGGATTGATAGAGAGGGAAGGATGGAGAGGGAGGAGGGTGGAGAGGAGGAGAGAGGGGGGGTTCATAGAGAGGGAAGGATGGAGAGAGAGAGAGAGGAGGAGGAGAGGGAGGGAGAAGGGTAGATTGATAGAGAGGGGAAGGATGGGAGAGAGAGGGGGGGAGGGGAGGGGAGGAGAGGGATGGAGAAGGGGGGGGGAAAGAGAGATGGAAGGAGGGAGAGGGAATGGGAGAAAGAAGGAGGGAGGAAGAAGGGTGGATTGATAGAGAGGGAAAGGATGGAGAGAGGGAAGGGAGGAGAGAGGGGAGGGATGGAGAAGGGTGGCGGGGGAAGGGAGGGAAGGAGAAGGGTGGATTGAAGGAGGGAAGAGGAGGGAAGGAGGGAGAGGGAATCGAGAAAGAAGGAGAAAGGAGAGGAGGAGGGAGAGAAGAAAGGGTGAAGGAGAGAGAGAGAGAGAGGAGAAGGAAGGAAGTACTATAAAACCCGGGGGAGAGAAAGAGAGAGGGAAGATTAAGTGGAGGAGGAGAGATAGAAAGGCCAAAGAAAAGAGAAGAGGGAAGGAAGTAAAGAGAGCGGAATGAAGGAAAAAAAGGAAGAGAACGATTGAGAAAATAAGAGATTAGAAGAAGGAAGTAAAAAGGAAGGAAGGAACAGGAGAGGAAAGGAGGGAGGAAGGAGGAAAGGGATGTGAGGAAGAGATGAGGAGGAAGAGAGAGAAAGAGGAAGAGGAAAGAGGAATTAAGTAAGAAAGAAATGAGTAAAAAGGAAATGAGTAAATAGGAAATAAGTAAGAAAGAAATGAATAAAGAGGAAATAAGAAACAAATTAGTCAAAAGGAAACAAATAAAGAAATGAGCAAGAAAAAAAACTGAATAAGAAGGAAATGAGTAAAAATGAGCAAGCAAAGAGAGGTAAGAGAGGAAGGCAGCAAGCAGACTGGGCAAAAGAGAGTAAATAGATTATTCAAAACCGTAACAAATGTGTCTCGAGAAAGTGGCTCTCATTGAAGGATTTAGCGAGAGAAGCAGAGAGTGCAAGATTATTTTTCCTTCTGTTTCCCCTTTCTGTTTACGTTTATTGTCTGTTTTTTTATTTTCCTGGTTTCCGTCTGTCGGTCTTTTTTCATTTTTCTGTTTTTATGGTCTTTTTTTCGGTTTTTGGTTTTCGTTTTTCTTTTTTTTCAGTTTTTTTGTTTTCATTTTATTTTCTTTTTTTGTTTTTTGTTTTATTTTATCTTTTTTTCACTTTTCTGTTTCCGTTTTATCTTTTTTTCACCTTTCTGTTCCCCGTTTATCGGTCTTTTTTCTTCTTTTTGTCTTCATTTATCATTTTTCGAGTCTGATTTTTTCTAGGGAAAAACAAATAAGAAAGTAAGGGACGAAAGCAACAGAAGAGAGACATAAAAGCGAGAGATAAGATTGCGAATTCCAGGAAGAGAGGAAATCGACATACAGGAAGAGAAAGAGAAAGAAAGGAAAAGAAATAGGTAACTGAAAAAGGAAGATTAAAAAAGGAAGAAAAAAGATTTTAAAAAATAGGTTTAAAATAACGAATTCCAGGAAAACGGAAAAGAGAATCAGAAAAAATAAGAAAGAACAGAAAGGAATATAAAAACAAAAATTAGAAAAAAAAGAGAGAACAAACAAAAACAAAAAAGAACAGAAACAAACAGCAAAGAAATCCACCAGAAAAAAATAAAACAAGAAAGAAAGAAAGCCAAAACATCACAGCAAAAAATGAGACGCACACCACTCACGTGCGCGCCATCTATTGAGCGTAAGCGCCGTCACGCCCGATCGCCTCCGAGCAAACACACCAGACGCAGGAGATGCCGCCCGGGTTCGAGAGGTACGGGCGGCCTGCGGGACCCCCTGCCTGGCATGTGGTCGCCATGTGGTATGCATGTGGTATGGGATGCTAATCTGGAGCGGAGAATGGGCGCGGCAGAGGAGGAGGAGGAGGAGGAGGAGGAGGAGGAGGAGAAACGCTGGAGGGGTAGGCGTGGTTCCAGAAGTCTCTCGAACCGCCCTTTCGATCTCTCTCTCTCCCTACCCCCTCCCTGCCCCCCCCCTCTCCCCCCCTCCTTATTGCCAGCCTATATGTACAGTTATATGAGATTGAATGCGATTTCGGGCTGGGCGGTTTCCTTCTGGAGGGTGGTGGGGGTGGGGGGGTTAAGGAAGGGTATAGTGATGGGGTGGTGATGGTGGAGGTGGGGGAGGTGGTGGAGGTGGAGGTGGGGAGGAGGAGGGAGAATTGGCTGGAGGTGGTAGTGGTGGAGGTGGGGGGGGGTAGTGGCGGAGGAGATGGTGGAGGAAGAAGAGGAGGTGGAGAAGGAGGAAAAAGAGGAGTAGGAGGAGAAAGGAGAGGAAAAAGAGGAGTAGGAGGAGAAAGAGGAGGATGAGGAGGAAAAAGAGGAGGAGGAGAGAAAGAGGAGGAGGAGGAGGAAAAGAGGAGTAGGAGGAGAAGAAGAGGGAGAGAAAGAAGAGGAGGAGAAAGAAGAGGAGGTGGAGATGGTGAAGGAGGAAGAGGAGAAGAGGAGGAGCTGAAGGTGGTCGTGGTGATGACGATGACAACAACGATGACGATAAAGATGAACATGAGCACAGACAAAGACGACAAAATCGACAATGACAAAAACAATCATCACTATCACAGCTGATACAATTCTCACAGGTGCCGTTCCACTTTTTTCGCTTGGCGCGCGTGCCCCGTTGCCTTCAAGGATTATGCAAGG